GTGTGTGTGTGTGTGTGTGTGTGTGTGTGTGTGTGTGTGTGTGTGTGTGGTCTCTCTCCTGTATGTGATGGACTCTGGCTGTCTCACTGTTGCAGACGTCTGAGAAAGCGAGCAGCTGAGACGGTCTCCAGTCCAAAGATCAATGTTTCAGCCGGTGGAAGGTACTCTGTCCCGGGAGAACCCTCCGTCTGCACTCTAGCTGTGACAGTGGGTTTCCTGTTGGTGGTAGACAATAATAACCATCTATCTCCCGTCTCTAGCTAGTCGCCCTCTCTCTTGTACCATACTGTCGTGATGAGCAGCATGTGGATGGGTTGTAGATGTTTATTGTGTCCTGCTGAAGCTCGTGGTTTCCTCGTGTGGAGGTTTCTTCTCATTTCTGTTTATTGTCTTTCACATTTCCACTGACGTGGCACAGATTGTAAAGACAAATTCTAATTGATTGTAAGTGCAGTAAATGCTTCTCTTTGCTCTCAACATGAAGTCAATTGTTTTTTTTATTCTGTAGACTATTTGGGGCCATTTTTGAAGTGAACTATGTCGTTAATCTGTGCTGCGTCAGTCACTGGAGATTCATCTTTCCACAGATTAGTCCTGTTCCATTGCTCACTACAGTACGGCACGCTTTATGGAGGAGCTCAGTTACTCTCCATTCTGGGTTCTTCAACCAAAAACAGAAAGTCTCATGTGAGAGTCCACGTGACAAGAACCGACCTGAGTCCGGTAGAATCTGCAAATAATTCACAGCGTTTGTTTTCTTCTTCAAAGAGTGCCAGATGGGTGGAGTTTCCCACGCTGGACGACAGTTATGACGCAACACCATTTATAAAGTGTCCTGATGTTGTAATATTACATCTGGTGCTCTAAAGAGATAACACAAGATAATAATAACTTACAGATTCTAAATGACCCGGTTCTGGACCAGAGTCACAAAATATCTGAGGTGTGTTTCACAAAATCAAACTGCCTTTCTGATCTAAGACCTTTGCTGATAACATTGAAGAACCAAGAATGTGTGTGATTTATGATATTAATATTTAATATCATGCTTTCCTTATTAAACATACCTTCATGATTTAAAAGCAATGTCATACGTCAAACATCATCAATGTGTAACTTGAGGTTCACATTGTAGAAAAACTACAAGTACTAACACACATGTTGATGATCAGCTTTACGTGTCTCTATGT